AAAATTGTACTTTTAGCCTATCACGGTGGCACATGCCTATAACCCCAGCACTTGGGAAGCTGGGACAGAAAGTTTGCCGAGAACACAGGGCCAGCCTGAACTACATACCAGGGCTTTGTCTCAAAAAATAAACAACAACAACAAAAAAATAATAATTTTAAGAAGACAGCAACTTCAGGAAACAATTAACATCCTCAGGGTTTCCAGGCACAATGGCATATGCCTGTAATCCCAGCACTTGGGAAGCTGAGGCAGGAGGATTCTAACGCAGAGGTCTCAAATAATGTTTTGGGCAAAAACAAAACACTGATCTGAACAAAATACAGTGCACTGCATTCATGAATTTCCCCTGAAAAACTGGGGCATTACCATTCTTCTTGGGAGTGGGCGCTATTCTTAAGTAGTAAAGTTTGTTTTATTTAGGCAGCATCTCCCTACAGCTCCACACTTCAGGCTTACCTTTAACACACAGCGATCCTCCTGGCACAGCTTTCCAAATTCTCTATAAATTCACAAATTCCTCCAATTCCCACCACCAAAAACTCATGAATAGTCCCCGCTCCAGACTCCAACATACCTCTTTGCCACTTAAGGGCTGGCACTCTCTTCCTCTGAGTGTGCGCCTTTAAACTCTGCTTAATAAATTCCCTTTCTGCCTTTTACTGACAAATCCTGAAAGATCTCTCTGTGTGATGAAAGCCAATGAGCCTACAACCTGCCCTCTCCCCTGCCTCCCCTGAGGTGAATCCAGGTTCCGCTTTGGGGACTTCCTTGGACCCTGTCCAGTGACAAAACCATTTCAAAGTATAAATTCGATGATATTACATTTACAATGTTGTGCAACCATTATCACTTCTATTTCAAAAACTTTTCATCACCCCAAACAAGAGCTTTGGACCCATTAAGCAATAGCTTCCCATTCCCCCCAGTGCCAGCCTCTAGTAATAACCTCGGAGGAAACCCTCTAGGCTCGCTTCGGCAGCACGTATACTAAAAAACTGTAACAGTACTGAGAAGATTAGCGTGGCCCCTGCACAGGGGTGACACACAAATTCATGAAGTGTTCCATATTTTGAGCACACACCGAAATTCAACCTTCTAATCTGATAGCACATAAATAACCTTTATGTCTCTATGCATTTGACCTTTGTCAAATTCTTCATTGAAGTAGAATCATTTAAATATTTGCCCTTTTTTTTTTCAGGGTCTTGATAGGTAGCCTAAGCTGGCCTTAAAGCATGGATCCTCCTGCCTCAGCTTCCCGAGTGCTGGGATTACAGGCACGCACCATCATGAACAGCTTCAAGTCTGGTTTATTTCACTTAGCATAACATTATCTACAGTATAACATCTGAAATAACTCTTTTTTTTTTTTTTTTTTTTTT